AGGTAAATACATCCAAGTTTAAGGTGTATCAAAGACAGCACCTTTCATGGAGAAACATCAAAATTGTAATAAAGAACAAACAGCAAAATTACACCCAGTATTATAAATTATCATAATTTCAATCTGTAATCTTCACTGAAATAGCTAATGAACTTCAGATTTCCCTAGCAAAACAGGACCAACTGATTTATAAGAAGACTCCCTCAGAAAAAGGACATTACTGGTTTACATTATGAGAAAATAAAGAAGTAAGAATCAAATGCTACATATACTACAGTGCCTTAGTTGTACTAAAATATGGACAAAAAATAAGGTACCTATTATCAAAGCCTGGAAGGGCTGAAGAGAAATCATCTCTCTTTGCTCCTCAGGCATCACATTGAGACAGCTTCTGGCTTTTAGTGCAGCATGTAATTTATCCCAATCTCTGTGGTGCTAACACAAGGGTTTGAGGTCGCTAGAGATTGCAAGTTCCTTATTTTGAGGAAACCATTTCACTTGACACACCTTTGAAATCGTCCCACTGGGCTGAATACCTTACCCTTCAAAAATAAGGGCCTGAGAGGTTTCAAGTTAGATTGCATTCCTGATCCTTTTACAAGTCTTGGTGCTGCTCTAAGGAGGATGCAGACATTCCTGACCAGGCCATCCAGCTTCACCTGTATTTTTTACTTCTGCTTCAGTTTTAAAAGAAATAATAATCAGAAAATCTTAAAGAAACCAGACAGCAAAATCTGATCCTCAAGGAAAAACCCATGATGAAAGGTGTGAGCTTTATCTTGCTATTCCACCTTCTAAAATATCTGGGTAGAAGATAGGATGAGCTTGAGGAAAAGTGTTTGCTCATGAAAAGGATGCAGTTACCCACATGAAGCACACAATATCACACTTTGAAGATTACTTCAAAGTGAGTGATAAAGCAAGCAATAATTCCAAAATACATTCTGCTATACATTAAAGTACAAAGTAAAATACTCCTGCACTTTTAACCCACATGTAAATTTTACTCTTACAGCTATTCATGATGAAATGCAGCATTTCCCACAGTCTCAAAGGCAGAACTTACAGTATGAAGCATACATTACATTCCTTAAAAAAATAAATAAAGAGCAGATGTCACAAAACTAACTAGCTTCAGACTAGGGAAACAGGAATGTTTCCCCCTTCTCTGATGTGATACAAGTATAAGCTACTATTTACTGTTTAGAAGTGAAACACTTAGTAAAATATATTCTAATTAGGAACTCAGACTGTGTCCTAAATATTCTTTTGTGTGGTGTTTTTAAGCCTGACTAAATGAATCTCATTCGAGCAAAGACCAAACAGTGGCATCATTTGCTTAAAACAACAATGGAATTTATTACATGCAGTAATAGCACAGACTGTAGTGTCACCAAGCTCATACATAAAATACCTACTCTTAAATACATTCTCAACTGTGCGTATCTATGCAGTAAGCAATACTACTTTTGAACTGATAAATTCTTACAATTCTTGTCCTGCGTATTTTGTCCTAAAAAGCAGCTTACATCCTTTCTGTACAACTTTGATAAGGTATAGATACCCTTATCTTTTCAAAGGATTGGGCAGTATACCGTTAACACACATCCCCTATTCTCCAAAGGAACATACTCTCCATGTTGAACTTGCCCAGCCAAAAAATTCAACAGCACTTACTTGCAGATGCATTAAACCGTACTTTGGGACTAGAATTAATCCCTTCAAATGACAGGATTTACCTTAAGTATAACCTCATACACTTCAAATGATAATGTATTCTCAGTACTATGGTCAGGTTAAGTTCTCAGCAGGCCACAATTGGAGGCACACAATTCAGTTCTTAAAACATTCTCTACCATGGAAGGTTGCTTCTCTCCTTGAGCACCACTACCTCTGAAGATCACAGCCAGCTCCAGCCTTTAGAGACAGTACTCCCCTGTAAGTAATACCTTTTCAAAGAGGGGTGCAAGCTGAAGGCAACACTTGGTTCTCACACTGAACCAATAGCTACTGTTGGCGCTCAAAACACAAAGAGAAAACCCATCAGCTCTCAAGCCGCTCTGTCTTAACAATTTGTACTTCGGATCTACATTAGAACTGAAAGAACTGAACCTCGCGTACATTAAGAATACAGAATACGATCACTAAAACTGAAAACTCAAATGAAGTCTTAAGAGCAGCACAGATTGCAGGTAATTTTCCGAGTCTCCCAGGTATTAAACACTCTCAAGCTTGGCTTTCCAGGCAGGGATTTCTGAGGAACTGCTTTAATGTCCTTATCAGAAAGGAAAGATGATCGGCTTATTTTGAGTCTCCACAATATATTTCAGTTCTCTGTGACCTCACAAAGTTTGAATGCTACAAATGAAGACAACCTGCCAGTTCAAACACAAAAATATGATGAGGATATAACTATCCTTACCAACATCAGCCATATGACACTATCTCGCTCATCTGGAAATGTAACTGAAGACTGGACCAAGAGACTGATGCACTGTTTGTGCATTTCAAACACTACATCTGTCCTCAAACACTAAGCCTGTCATCCAGTAGAATTAAATAAAAACTTTGTGAAACAGCACTGCATTCTGACCTATGTTCAAAAAATGCCCAGATCTCCTCTTTAACAAAGACATTTAAGACATCAGTTAAGTATCTTGACCCTATGCCTCAAGTCGGATTGCTCATAACTGATTGTTATATCCAGTGAGTACAATGCCTAGATTCAAAGGGGAATTCAAAAGAGACAGGCAGCAAGAACTGAAGTGTGTGAAACACATGGTATTTCAGCCAACACAAGAGGCAACTGCAGCTCCCTTATGTCCAAACAGCTGACAAACTTCTCAACGCTAGTTACATTCAGAAGGTCTTCGTTTGTGAGCTTGGGATAGGGGTTTTTATAGTGGTGGGGTTTTTTTGGGTGGTGGTGATGGTTTTTTATGTAAAGTATCATTAAGAAACATGTTTCCTACTTGGTGCCAGCAAAGAGATCAGATTGCAGTTTATACAACAAACGTTGTGAGTCTGAAAAATGATCAAAGTTACAATGCTGGGTTTACTTTTGTTGAGAAGTAATATTCCAAATTTATTCAACATTATGACCATGAGACTACTGTGAAAAATGAAATTATATTAGCATAAGTAATGCAAAGAGAAATAGCCTTGAAATAGACTGAAAACTTTAGTTGTATAGCACTCTCTCCTTAAAAGAGATCTCGGCATACTCTTCATGTTATATAGCAACTTGCATTGGTACCATACAAAGCACAGTACAAGTTTATAATCAAAGGCATTTATGATCTAGTTTAGACATGAACACAAGTTATAATCCAAAATAGCTTAGATTTCTCATCCAAGATAGTATCACTAAATCAGGAGAATGCTAAGTGAACCATAGCTGAAAAACAGCTAGGCTCTTCCAAGACAGCTCAGATAACACCAGCAGGGAACACAACCAAGCAGTCCAGATGAAATTCCAGGCATGCACCCACTGGAATCAGCCCACCTATGGCTGCAGACCTCAGCCCAAGAGGGAGGTTACTGTGCATGGAAAGGAGATTAGAGAGATCTGCCAAAGCAGCAATACTATGACTAAGAGCAGATGCAGAAGCTATCTGAGGGAAGAGTGGCCAGAGGCTGCAAGGCCTGCAGCAAGCTCTAGGAATGCTTACCAGGCAAATACAAGAGCTCACTGGTGCAACCCTGATGTAAGACTTCTATTTGCGACTTCTGAACTGCTTAAAGATGCAGTACATACATAAGTACATCAGTAGCTGGTAGCAGAACTTTTAGTTATTTCATAAACTTCAAAGTTTCACTCTTCAACACAATCTACATTGATTAATGCGTCCAAATACAACTCATCTCCTATCCCTGCAGTTGATTTCCACCTTGGAGTCACTCATGTCACTAATTTCAGGATGGTGTTAAGCTGCAAACATTAGGAGCCAGAATTTTATGTGCAAGAAGTCTGTTCAATCACTTTAGAAAGTTTTTGTTAATTTTTGGACAAGTGCAAAGGGAGAAATGTAAGCCAAACTACGCAGCTTCCACAAAGTTGCCTTCAGCCAGCAGAAAGCCAGCCCAGTATTACAGAACTCACTCTATCATGTTTGGATCTTCTGAGTCCAACACCTTAAACTGAAAATTGAATTCCCAAATACTGCGTGTCAACTGGAACATTTGGGTAGGCCTTTCCTGCAGGGTGCCCTTGTCAGTGTCAGTAGGCACCAAGCACCTCACACATACCTCTGCTCACCCTGTGTGCTCAGCAAAACCACTGTAGGCATGAAGTGGTCACTAGTCTCAAATGATTGCCCTGGTGAGGTTTGTTGACACCTTTTGGCAGAGCTAGCTCAGACCCACTTGAAACAGAGGGGACTGCAAACGCTCGGCAGTCGGGACACCTTACAGCAAACAGCTCTGGATGTCATTTCCGGTATTACCATGATCACATTTCTGTACAAACTCAAAAGCTTTCCTGCTGGTGACCAAAATGATTTCCCTACAGGAATAGAAACACACAGTAACGCACACTCCTCCTGAGCAAGAAACTCTTGCAGTTTCCACCTGCTGGCAGAAGATGGTAAATACTTATCTTGTAGAAGGAGAAAGTGCAAACTACTAACAAAAAAGACTTCTAAAACCAAAACCTAGCCTAGAAGAATCACCAGAATATAAACAGAATTCTTTGGAATTACAGAAAACCCATTCAGGTGGTTAAAACTAAACAGTTGATGGTCTTGCTAATTTTTAGCATCAGCCTACACAGCCTGCTAAAGCATATTTTCCCTTGTTATGATTATGAAACATATTGCAGTGTTCTGGTGAGGAAATACAGAACCCAAACCAACAACCACCATTTCCTGTAGTCATCGTGCTGGGGGAAGGGAGGATAGAGGGGGAAGGTAAAGGGCCAGAAGGAATAACCAGTAAAAACATACGGAGTTGCAAGAATTTCAGAGAATATAAGAACTAAGAATAAAGACCCGCTGACATACCTTCTGAACAAATGGCTTCCTTCAAATACAGCAGCACGTCTGCAAACTTCCTGACGTCGTTCACCAGTTGTGTGATATACTCTGGATCCACAACAGGATTATCATAGCAGTCCGAGTTGGAGCTGATGCTGCTCAGAGAGCTGCTCTTGGTGCTGCGCCCCATTCCCCAGTTTCCTGAATTGGAGATGGTGAAGAAGTTGGAGGTAGACAGTCGGGCTAATCCCAAACCACGCTTGTTGCCTCCACCGTTCTGCCGCAACATCCCAGCAGCCACTGTGCTTATAGAGCTCCTACAGGTAACACTCAGCAGTGCTTCAGGTCCATTGGACAAGCTGAAGATGAAACCCTTAAAAATTAAGGGGGGGAAGGAAGTGGAGAAGGAAAAATTATTATTAGTATAGAAATATATGAGAAATAATACTTTTGTGCTGACAAGATCCAAAATTTCTTTCAATATGACACTGCTTTACATTACAATGCTTAACTGAATATTATAAGTGCTTCTGACCATTTGAGATTATTTTAATTCTTACGACATGTAGAGTGTTGCAGAGAAATCAAAGGTATGCAGAAATTATTTCAAAAGCTAACTCACAAGCAATGTTTTTACCCTGCATATTTATTTGGGAAGCCTTCAGAATCAAGTTCTTTACATTTAGCAAGACCTGTTCTTTACTATGATATGTTACTACAACTGAATACAACTGCAAAAACACTTGCCCTGATACAGACCATGAGCAACTTCCCCACCTGCATCAACCACCAAGCTGTGTTCAGCATCCTGTCTCAAGATAATAGACAGCCTTGATCTGATAGGATGAAGTCTCTTTGTGTAGACTGTGCTGAGCCAGAAACCATGGACTACCACAGCTCATCTCAGCAAAGAAAACATCCTGAAAACAGTTATGTGTCTTTTCAGCCTGTGACCTTTTAATATGAAAGGCAATCAAAGGAAAAACATGGAAAAGTGAAGAGATTTACAAATACTGTAGTATCAAAGCGTACCTACAAATCTCAGTGCAGTTACCTCAAAGGGTGTTGCTCTGCATTAGTACCCCTCAGAAGTTCCACCATCAAAGCGCACAGATCTGGGGACAGCTCTGCCGGTATAACTCAGCAGCTACCTGCACTCCTCCTGCTCAGAAAACCCAGAGAGCTGCTGCAAATTGCCCCATGTCAGGTTAAGTGATTCATTTCAAAGCAGCAAACTCCAGGTGGCAGAGTTAGGTATGGTGCCAGCAGCTCCCACAATGCTTGATTTTATTCCCTCAACACTAGGAAAAATCCTTAGTGTTTACACTATATGGTAAACACTACACGGGAAAACAACCAAAACCAAATTGGAACATGACAGCTACAAAGCTGCCATCAGTTGCAGGCTTACCCGAAGCACGAGCTCAAATTCAACTCTTTTTAGCTCAAAATAAGAGTTATTCCGATCTAAAAGCGCAGGTTAAGATGAGTTATCCTGCTTATGTCTGGATTTGGTTAGAGCACCTGAAGAAGTAGCACCTTTCAAGTTTAGAACATTGCATTTCAACAGGCATCATCCTAAGGCACTTCAATTATTTTTCCATTATTTCTGCTTTATTTCTCTTTGCAACTTAAAAATATCAGAGGAAACGTGGCCAAAGCAGTTGTTTTTCTAATTAATCTGGCAGGGAGGGTGTGCTGGGTGAGGGGGAGAAAACTTCAGCATTTAACACAAATTAACTGCTCTAATTCCTATTTAGCCTTTAAAGTCAGTGCCTATACGAATACTACACAAATAACATAGATAATTAAGCAATTCCAAACACCTCAAGTAGATTGAGGTGAGGTTTACATTAAACACAACGTTGAAGTAAGTTTCTTCTGTTCCCACATATAATTCTCATGGCTACAAAGCTACTTTGCAATTCCACCTTGCAATTCCAGCAGAAGAAGCCACAAAACCTCCCCTCCTTTTAACAAGTATGATATGTATTTATATCGAGACAGAGATTTTCATAGTATTTAAAAGACATGCTCCTTTTAAGTCTGGCCAGCTTGAGTCAAAGCAGCAAGATGTGTTAGACCTGCTCCCGAATCCAGTTCACACTTTTAGAGCAGTGTTGTTTTAGAGATAAGCTGCCTTATTTTCACTTATTTACACGAGCAACAAGCAGTACAACAATTCCACAGCTTTGAAAACTGTAACACTGATGACAAAGAGTTTCTGAATGGGAAAAACTTGGAACTTTCGCTGTAAAGCAGCGGCAGAACCAAGCCCAAAGAGTTTAGTACAACAGCCACCTTTCCCCTGGTAAACACTTAGCCCTGCTTCTCCCGCACTGCAAGGCGGATGGGGAGACGTTTCCCCACACAGAACACATGCCTTTCGTTATTGAGGAGCGTTTCGTGTTCCTCCAGGAGGCTCTGCCTTTGGAAACACAGAGCGGCCGCAGGCTTGTCGATAAACGCCTCCAGACCGCCCCGGTTAGGAGCGAGCCGTCAGAAGCGGGGGAAAGGAAAGAACACAGCGCCAGACAGCTCAGCAATTCCCTCTCCCAACACAATCCCCACGGCGGGGAATAGGAAGCAAAGAGAGAACCAAAGAGAGAAGACGCTCCCGAAGGGGTCACGTCGCCGGGCCGAGAACAGGGCCGCTCCCGGGCGGGGGTCGCGCGCTGCCGACGCCCTGCCTCGCCGCCACACGGCGCGGCCTCCGCGTACGCTGAGGTGAGTTGCGGGGCAGGGCTGAGGTAAGCCCCCCCCTCCTTCCTTCCCCTCTCCCTCCCTCTTCGCCGCGTCCCACATTCCCCGCCGCCAGCCCTTACCGGAGAGGGGCGGCCGAGCGCAGGCAGCAGCGGGGCCGCCGCGGGCCCTTGACTCTGCCACTGCGCTACCCATGGAGCGCCCTCACGGCTCTCGGGGCGGCCCGCGCCGCCGCCGCCGCCCCCGGGGTCCCCGCCGCTCCCGGCGCCGCCTCCCCTCACGCCCGCCGCTGGGCGGAGCTGCGCACAGCGCACACGCCCCCCAACCCCTCCGCCTTCCTGCCGCGGGCGCCCGGCGGTGGCCGGGGGGCCGAGATGGGTCCGATAAGGCGAACAATGGCCGGTGGGACACGGGAAGGGAGGATTCCCCGTCCCGCTCCCGCATCACGCGTCCCGGCACCGCACGGCGCAGCCCGTGCCCCCCTCCGGAAAGGGAGTTGTAGCTACCGGGCACTCGGCGTGTGTGTGGCAAGCGCAGGAGCGGCACACAAACAGGCTTCAGAAGCCCAAATCCAGGCGATGTTTAGTAAACAGGGTTTGCTTTTAAGTGATTTCCCAACGAGAAGCAAACAGGCCGTGGCAAAGGGGAGAATAATGTTTCTCATGCTTGACACCCCACCCCCCCAGCCCCGCTTTCTAGTGCTGAATCTGGTATGTCACTCGCTGTGCAGCCGCCACCATTGTTACGAGTGTGTACGCACACACACACATTTCCCTTCCTACTTAAGCTTTTATTTCTGGATGAGCTCTGTTGCTACTTAGGGAAAAGCAAAGCAGCAACGAAATCCAAGTGTAACGCCGCCAGACTACACCCGCAGGGTGGGAGTGGGTTCAGTCACAACAACAGCCCACGTTTTGGCATAATTTAGCTTCCGAGTTTACTTGTATGTGCACATATATGCACCTTTTTGTTTGGTCAAGAAGAAGAAGAAAGTTGGAAAAGCAGGAATTTGCAGCATCATACAGAAACTCAAATATTTCCCAGCAGCATCAGGACCTTTAGATCTCCACACGGACCTTTGTCACATCAGCTGATGGCAGCAGTCGGATTTCCATGTTCTAGAGGCAAGGATTACAAACCTAGGCTTTATTCCTCACTTACTAAAAGGCCATTTAAATTCAGTAGTCTTCAGTCCAATGTCCAAGCTCCAGGATGGGACATACTTTCAATAATGTATGAAAGTATCTAATTCTTAGCCCAGCCCCTTAACCCCAGCAGTTTCAGGCTTTATATCTTGAAATTCTCCACCCTTGCTCCAGTCTCCTTCCACTACTCATTCACGATTTTGTGTCAGAACACCAACCTTCTCCTTGTTCCATTCTTCCTCTCCATATATGCCATATATATCCATATATCTTCTTTTATTGAAAGACTTTTATTCCATTTCTCTTGGAATTTATAAAGCCTGAAACAAAGCGACCAAACTAAACCAAGATGTGACATTATTCACCTCTCGTGTCAATGTTAAGCATTGTTCAATAACTTTTCTTTACCTTAAAAAAAAATCCTAAATAAAATGTGATGTAAACTTAGAAGTCCAGTAAAAGTTATAAATTCTTCAGGTCTTCTAAGTATGGAGAAAAGCAAACAAAACAATGCCCTGAGCTTCAAAAAGATTTTGATCATTCAGGTAATTGACCCAGCAGATGTCAAAATTAGGCCAGAGTAAACAATTACAAATGAATTCAATGTGAAAGCGAGGAACTAGGTGGGGAATGCAAGTTAAATAGCACAATCAACAATCACATCAGCAGAAAGGAGTATTAGAGCTTTATTGTGGGAAAAGTCATTGAAACCATTAGATAGCAGCATCCAGTAGCAATAAAAAAGATCAACAAGTAATTTCACCTGTACTTATCAATAGATAGAATACAAAGCAGTGGATACTACTTGGTCTGCCAAACCTTTGTTGGAAAGAAAAGTATTTAGCTACAGCAGACCCTCTCTTCCTTACAGACAGTATTTTGAGAACACAAGGGGATTTATCTTGTCATCATGACACCATTATAGAAAATGCAAGGAAGAATAAACTCAGCTGTTCCAAGTACATACCCTGCTACAGGCCTTCTGTTTCTGAAGCAGACTTTAATTTCATGATGCTTCATTCCCTCCATGCATTTCTCTTCTCTCTCTCATCTCAGTTCCCACATAAGCTAACCTGCATCCATGCAAGAATTCAGCAATTATTTTTGCTTTGGTGGATTGTTTATTTGCAAAAAAAAAAAAAAAAAAAAAAATCATGGTTTTATGCTTCTGAAATATTTTGTTTCAGGCACTTTTGATTGAAAACATAAAAGTGTTCTACATGGTGGGAGGCCTAGCTTCAAACATGTTTGGAAAAACATGTTTTGAGCCCACATCTGCCACATGATGTGAACGTTAAGTGAAGTTTTGGGTTTTCCTCAAAGGAAAACAACAAACAATTGTCCTTTTTCAATTTAGTTGTTCAGAGCTTTCTTCCCTCCTCATTCTCAGTTTGCATGCCAAATTGAACACAGAGTCCTCTGCATTCCCCCTGAATAAAGACAAGCATGAAACAGCTTCAGCTATGTCCCAGACTGTACAGTGTTGATTACCTCCTAAATTGCTTTGGAAACTATTACATGAAAGAGAACTGGAAATAACAGATCTACCCTCAAGAAAACACAGCTTGTATAAAAGGCCAGGTGTACATCACAGCCTGCAACTTCTGCTGCAGTGGATGAACTGGAAGAAGTATTAAGGGTCTAACAGCTGCTTTATGTTGGTCATCCTTTGCTAGTTTACAGGGCTAATGCCCCTTTTTAAGCCATGTATAACCTAAAGCATCACTAATGCAGTTAAGGATGTGAGAGGTTGTTTAAAGTCACCTTTTTTCTGCACTTCATCCAACTGTCCTGGTTTGCTTGGAATGAACAATGGGTTTGTTCAATGAACAATCAGTTATTAGGCAAATAGTGAAGACCAGGACAATACAAACAGTAGAGTGCCTCAACAGTGTATTCTCTAAGAACAGACACCCAAATCAAATTTGTTTCCATTAAAAATGCTGTGTTTTCCTGTGAGCAGCCACTGAAATCTCTTAATTCCTTAAGAGCCACTTGTGTGATTCTTTCAACAGATGTTTTTGTTTTCTGATAGAGCATGTGTACACAGGGAACTAAAAGCTATAGTACAGCTCTTTACAAACAAACCAACCAACTCAAAAAACCACACCCAAACCCCAATCTATGAAGTAAACTCCAAGTACCTGCTTCTCCCTTCTCAGGGTTGAATAGTACATTACTCATGCGGACGTCCCTTTGAAATCCAAGGAAAAGCCTGCCTGATGCAGCTTCCATCACTGTTAAGGGAAGAAATATTTCTAGGTAGCAGCATTTAATGTAACTAGAACTGGGAAAGTAACATTTGTTAAGAAATAAGCTTCAAAATATACTGTCTCTATTCTATATATCTGCAGAAGTGCAAAATATTCTAGACCAGTTGGAAGACATAAGAACAGCAAGCCATAGGAGTTCAATACAGAGCTGGATAGTCCTTAATGTTGTTAACCACCAAGTCAGCAAGGGAAGCTAGAGCTGAGAAGGGAATCCAATTCTAGCCACACACTGAGCATCACTATAAATAATTGTAAACAGGTTAGAGAGGTAACTTGGTAGAAGTTTCCACCTTCTGCTTACATTCCAGCAAGCCGAGTTCTGCTCTCAAGATGTATTTCCATAAACTATTTCTTTCCAAGAATCTTATATAAAGGCTCCTGCAAAAGGCCAGCATCATTTGTATATCAGTAAACCAGTTCAAGAATTAACCTGAAAATGAGTTGTATGAATTCTGAGAAAACCCTGGAAATTGTTCCCCCAGCACCACTGCATGTACTGCTGCTTTATAAAAGAATATATACTTTTTTTTCCCCTCACACAAGATCTCCATTTTGGCTGTAATAAATGCCACCTACCTACCTGAGAACCCATCAAGATAAGGAGATTCAGACGCACTTCCTAGAACATCCTACATTTACAGCCACTGCACCAAATGCCCTGAGGGGAGCTCCGTGGGTGAAACTGCAGCAGCCGCTGTGCACTGGAATGAACCTGCAGAACCAACCAATGGAGAACTTAAGCACCCCATCTCCTGCAGACCTGTTTCTCACCCAGAGATCAGTCACCTCCCTCTTCTCAGTCCTGATCTTGAGGCAGACCAAAAAGCACTTCAACAAATGACCAAGGGAAATGAAATGTATGGCTTTAGCAGGTATTAAAACCTGTATATTTTGTTTAATGGCTCATAACAATTCACCTCCAAGATAATCCCTCCATGCTTTCTAAGGTGATGAATGAGGCCTCTCTTTTCTATAGGAGATAATCACTTAATCACCTCTCCCCTTGCTAATAGTCCTCCACTAATCTCTATTTCACTATTATTGTCTGCTTTTTTCTTATATTCTGATATTTAGCCTGATGTAGAGCAGTTATTTGCAGTTATCCTCAAACCTGATGCCCCCAAATTTGTTGCTTCTTCTTTTCAGTTATACCAACTGATCTCATCTAAAACTCTTTCTCTGGTCTTTCCTCTTTTCATGTAGCATCCTGCCCTGCTCAGGATGAACTACATACCAGTATAAACTATGTCTCAAAAATGATGCAAGGCTGGAAGCATGAGAAATGCAGCTGGACAGAGAACAGCTCAATTTGCTAATCCTCCAGGGAAAAGGATTGCCCCTGGCATGGGCAGCACTCCATTTCCTAACGTTTAATGAGCAGTTTCTTGAAAAACTTCCACCTTAACTAGCAATTGCCAAGGAGGACAGTGGGTGGTGAGGAATGAGAGGAAAGACTGCAAGCAACTTCCAGAACTTTCAGAGCTTGTCAAACGCACTATTAACCACCAGCAATCACAGCACAGCGACCTGCTGCTTTAGGATCCAGGAGGCCTGGAGGTAACCACCGTGGCTCAGTTAGCCTCACCTGCTGTACTGGTACCAGCTGGATTTAAGAGAGGGAAAGCCCAGCAATTAAGGGTTAGCAGAGAAACAGGCTGTTTCTACAGGGAATAGGAGGCTTGGCTGGGAACTACTTGTAGGTGGTATCTTGCCAAAGGCTATTGGGTGGGTGGCTGTTGGTTTGATGTGCTATGGGGAACAGGGTGACTGCCTGCCAGCAGGGATAGAGGTGATAAGCAAAGCTGCTGGGGCTGGATTTGCTTTGCAGGAGAAGGAGGCTGTCCTGTAGCTTTATGTTTTGAGTTAAGGGTTGGAAGTAGATTCTAAGATACAGAGACCGTGTTAGCCAGTTTTGGAAAGTCCTTGGGATGCTGGGCCTGTGGGGTGCTCTGGGGGCTCCTCTTGTTGCTGGGTTTTTCTCATTATTCTAGAGCATGCCAAAATCCTCCTGAAAGTGCTGACCATTGCTGCTTTCAGCTGTAAAGCAAAAATTCTTTTATATGTTCTCAATAGTCCTTAGTAGGTTAAGTGTTTGATAAATAAGATGAAAAACAGCAACAAAAACGTGTGACTAGAAACTTTTCCTTCCTCCCATTTTCATAATTACTGACATTACAGTAAGTCAGTTCAAGCCTTGTAACTATTGTTAGAGAAAAATGGAGTGTAAGTTAAAAATACTTCTTTGCCAGAGAGAACAGTGTACTTCAGGTTCAGAGAGCAGGTAAGGTCCTTAAGTAGCAATCAAATGCACTACATGTAATTAAGTGGTTTCTATTACCAGGTCTGTTCTTTTGCCTCTTCCTTCCTTCTGCCTCTGATGTTGTGGCATGATTGTCCAAATCCAGTCCTGACAAAACCATCCAGGTTGAAAGAACCCCCATGGTTAAAGGTGTTGCAGTTCACTGGGGTCATTTTGCCAAGAGGGTGAGTACAGCTTGCCTTGATGCTGGCAAACCAAAGCATGATAGTTTATGATGGGGTAGAGAGCTTCAACCCAACAACCAAAGCTGGAATAGTTTTTCTCATTGTGGGTTAGTGTTTTCTGTGCTAGATTCTAGCACAGAAAGACTTTATACGGCTTTGCTATGCAGTTTTGTTGCCAGGGATCATATTTTTATGTTGGAGCCTAGGCAAATAAGAGAGAGATGCAACTAAAGATAGGCACTGTTGATACCTCAGCTGTTACACAGTTTGTGCTGGAAGAAACTGTTTCATATTCAGGTTTTATGCTAATATATCTATTTCACATACAATAATGTATGTTTTCTGCGTTATTCCCAGCATTACAGAGCAATGTATACTTTATCCTTACTATAACTCATAAATAACTAAGCTTTATGCTAATGTAGATCTGGTTATTCTGCTTTCTCACTACAGAGTCAGCATCTGACCATAATATTACCAAGGACAGGAAAGCAGCTATAATGTATGGCTGGTCTGAAGCCTTAGTGAATTTCATATGCTGGTCACATTACCTGAGGAAGTATATTTTATACAAGGAACTCATTCAGTGGTTTTCATCCTGGACTTTATAATCTGAGTAACTCAGACAAGTTCCTTCTAACATTTTCTTATCAAATTAAGTGTTATAGTCTCCTTTGTGACTATGGTTCCATATCATCTGTGTTAATTTGGGTCTTTCAAATGACATCCCACTTTATTGAACACTGAGGAGCATACATGCTAGAGGGTATAATATCATTTAATGAAGTTGCTAAGGTGATCACAGTGCATTCATAGGTTTTGAGAGTACAGTGCTATTGCTTATCCTTTTTGGTATTGGTGACTTCAGATCAATCTCCCGAGGCAATATTGTCATGAGGACTCTGTAGCATGTAACTAGATTTGCAGCAAAGCTGAGCTTCAGGAGAGGGCTCTGCTCCTAGTTCTATGCAACAAGTTACATGATTTGTCAGTGGTGTTTCTCATAAAAAAAAATCTGACTGCTGCCAATTATGAATGCCTCTTGATAATGAATATGAGCCTCAGACAAAGCTTCTGGGAGAGGACTTGCTACTCAAACTAAGCTTTTACACCCATCAGTATTTAATTTCTTTCCAAATATTGGACCTTCCCTCAAGTGATATGATTACAAACATCTCTTGTGCGGTTGGGAGACATCGATGTGGTATAAATAAATGCAAGTAGAAGAGATACAGGTACGAGCCCTGTAAGGGTAAGAAAGTTACTAAATGCCTCTTAAATGTCTTATATTTCTAATCCCTTAAATGTCTTATATATCTAATCCCTGAACTACTGTACAAAAGCCTCAAAAAAAAAAAAAACAGTGAATGCTATTCTATTTCTGATGAAACACTTGTAGGTGCCTGGTCTCAAGGGATAATTCCTGAGCAGATCTCAGCTGTGAACCTTCCCACAGCCTAAGTGCAGCACCTGAATACCTGAAGGGGATCTCCTGCTGACCTTAATGGCCCTTTGCTCAGGGCACAGGTTGTTCAGCTGTCCTATAATGAGGCTCCTAAATCTTCCTGTTCACAATGCAGGGAGTGTAGGTGTCTAATACAGGATTCCCTGCAGGCCATGGGCTGGGACACCAAGTGTTAACAGCCCTTCAGTCTCTCACTGGACCTGGCCCAGAAGTTGCTAATCCAACACCCAAGAGAGGTTTGTCTGTTTTGTTTCCTGGTTTTGCTTTAAATAGTAATGCTGAATCTGATTAGCTGCAAGACAGCAGATGCTATGGTAACGTAAGATTTGAATAACAGATGTGAGAGCAGATTCTGGCCTTGGTTTAAATGACATTTATTATTATTTAACGTTTTCTTGAGCAATGGAAGCTAGGGGTCTGAGACCTTGCTCTCTGAGAAACTCCTTAGTGAATAATATGTAGAAAATCAGGACCATTATTATATGTATATATATATATATATATCAATCTGAGAAAATAAATTAGCTGTATCTAAAAGCGCATGATATATTTTGAAAGATGATACTGATCACAGAGGGGTTAAGTGATAAGCTAAGAAACTCCTCTATTTCTGTCATTTCACCTAGGTAAAATAATCCAACATGATATTTGCATTTAAAGGTCTACAAGGGAAATGGGTAAAGCTCTGTTACTTTTGGTTTATGGATACAGGATAAAAATATAGAGTACAATTCACTACACTGAAAACCACAGTGCTTTAACAAGCCTACTCTGACAAAAGCCACAAATGCCTTGCGCTTACTGACAGCTATTGGAAAGTTTAGTCTCGGCAAATATTATTTCATAAATCTGTATCTCAAATTAGATATCCAAATTCTATATAAATAGTAAACTGCAGTATTAAATAAAAATAAGCCAAGCCCTGCTTGTTTGTGTCCAAGTTATTACTGGCTTATAGCCACCTCAGCAATATGGAGCTGGGTCTGATACCAGCATGAATGAGAAATCAAAGATGATAGGTTTGCAGTCTAGTGAATGTAAAGGCTGCTGATGTAGCCTTGAGCTGTGGCAGAATGCATGATGACTGGAGACCCTCCTCAGCTTCCTCATGTCAATTTACTTGTCTTGGTAGGAACACATGGAGATTCCCTGCACGTACCCCAGCTTGCCCCATGATCCAGAAAGATGGTGGTCTCCACTTATGATAGGATGCCTCTGTGAGGAGGAGTGAGCACAGAGTCGTTTTGCATTGGCAGATGCTGCTGGCAGCTGCTCTGGGAAGAGCACTCTGAGCAGGTACAAGCTTATGGAGACGCAAATTCCATTCTCCTAGAACCAGTGGCCTTTACTGAGGGCAGGCCACAAACCTGGGCTGGTGCCTTCTGTGCCTTCCTTGCCACCCTTGTGGAGTGGCTTTGGGAGACCATCC